CTAAATGTAAATGGACTAAATGTCCCAATCAAAAGACACAGACTGGTAAATTGGATAAAAACCCAAAACCCATCAGTGTGCTGTATCCAGGAAACCCATCTCATCTGCAAGGATACACAAAGGCTCAAAATAAAGGGATGGAGGAAGATTTACCAAGCAAATGGAGAGCAAAAAAAAGCAGGAGTTGCAATTCTTATCTCTGATAAATTAGACTTTAAAGCAACAAATATCAAAAGAGACAAAGAAGGACATTACAGATAAAGTTAATTTTAATACTGTATTTAACTCATATTCAAATACAGTCATGTGTTGCTTAACCATAGAACCACACTTTGAGAAATGCATGGTTAGGCTATTTTGTCATTACATGAACATCATAGAGTGTATTTGCACAAACCTGAATGCTATAACCTACTACATACCTAGGCTATATGGTATAATCTATTGCTTCTATGCTACAGACATGAATAGCACGTTGCAGTGCTGAGTATGGTATTATAACACAATGTAAACATTTATGTACCTAAACATAACTAAACATAGAAAGCTATAGTAAAAATACAGTATTATCATTTTATGGGACCACCATAGTATATGCAGCCCAATATCGATCAAAACATCATTATGTAGCACATGACCGTACTACTAGAAAATCTGTCTTACAACAAAAGCCAAAATAGACAAATGGGACCTAATCAAACTCCACAGCTTCTGCACCGCAAAAGAAACATTCAATAGAGTGAATCGGCAACCAACAGAATGGGAAAAAATTTTTGCAGTTTATCCATCTGACAAAGGGCTGATATCCAGAATTTACAAAGAACTAAAACAGATTTATGAGAAAACGCTAACAAGCCCATTCAAAAGTGGGCAAAGGATATGAACAGATACTTTACAAAAGAAGACATACATGAGGCCAACAAACATATGAAAAAATGCTCATCATCACTGGTCATCAGAGAAATGCAAATCAAAACTACATTGAGATACCATCTCATACCAGTTAGAATGGCGATCATTAAAAAATCTGGAGACAACAGATGCTGGAGAGGATGTGAAGAAATAGGAATGCTTTTACACTATTGGTGGGAGTGTAAATTAGTTCAACCATTGTGGAAGACAGTGTGGCAATTCCTCAAGGATCTAGAAATAGGAATTCCATTTGACCCAGCAATCTCATTACTGGGTATATATCCAAAGGATTATAAATTGTTCTACTATAAGGACACGTGCACACGAATGCTCATTGCAGCACTGTTTACAATAGCAAAGACCTGGAACCAACCCAAATGCCCATCGACGGTAGATTGGATAGGGAAAATGTGGCACATACACACCATGGAATATTATGCAGCCATCAAAAACGACGAGTTTGTGTCCTTTGTAGGGACATGGATGAACCTGGAAACCATCATTCTCAGAAAACTGACACAAGAGCAGAAGATCAAACACCGCATGTTCTCACTCATAGGTGCATGTTGAACAATGAGAACACACGGACACAGGGAGGAGAGCACTACACACTGGGGTCTGTTGGGGGGAAATAGGGGAGGGATGGTGGAGGTTGGGAAGTTGGGGAGAGATGGCAAGGGGAGAGATGCCAGATGTAGGTGATGGGGAGGAAGGCATCAAATCACACTGCCACGTGTGTACCTATGCAACAATCTTGCATGTTCTTCACATGTACCCCAAAACCTAAAATGCAATAAAATAAATGAAAAAAAAAGTGAAATCTATGGCAATAAATGCATGTCTTTAAGAAAACTGCAAGATTTAAACATTATAAATTTGAATTAAGGTTAAGCTTACATTTAATCTTAAAGCAGTATGTAATTATATTTTATCACATTCTCTACTATATAGGAAATGTAGAGTGGTAAGCCGTATTAGTTTATAGAGCACATTCTTTCTTTAAGGAGAAGTAACAGCTCTTCCAAGACCAGCATTTCTTGGGTCACACCTTTCTCAATTCTCCTATAGGAAAGCAAAAGCTAAAGGTGATCTGAGTCTGGGACAGGGTTGAATAGAAGCTTTTCCTCCCACTTTCTGTAAAAATTTATCATTCTGAAATTTTTTGATGAAGTTAGTAAAATTTATTAAATACCCATCATAAAGTCTGTAAAATAGGAGTTACACCACTTTATCAAAACTATGCCTATTTTGACAAAATAGGAAGTTTTTGTCACTACAAAAACTTTTTACATCCAATTTCCATATATAACAAAATTTTAAAATTTATTAAATTTATGTTAAAATAAGCCAACAGTCTGTATTGTAAATAGACATGCCATAGAGTACAAAGCTGAAATGCAATAAAATTAAATACATAAAGACATAAGAGGGCTTACACAGAAAGCAGTTAAGTGTAACATAGCCCCGTAATGCATACAATACTGACTGCAATGCAATAAACTATTACGAATCAATCAACTACATAGAAATAAAGCCACTTTTATGATTCTATCCCATACTTTATGCACATAAACTCCAAAGAGGTATTTGAGCTTAAGAAAAAAGTTTGAAGCAATATTCAAATTCATTCATATAAAGTGAGGTAAAAGTTGCTATACATTTGAAAAATAAGAAGTACAATAAAATTTAATAAGAAATTTCCCTTGAACATTGGTGCGTAAGGTAAATTAAATTTTTAATTATAAAAGGGAGAGACAGAAGATGTCATTATAGATTCTGAAGAGGATTCAAGATGTTTTAAGGGTTGATGTCATTGCTTCCCCATACTGCCTAATTTCACTACAAAAGGTAAAACTTTCATTTTATTTAATGAAGACATATCATTAGCTTTATTCTTGTACTCACTTGACTGGGATCATATGGGATTCCCAACTAGCAAAAGGGAGAATAAAAGATGAAATTTTTCTGTGGCAATAACAGAAAAATCCAAAGGAAAAAATGGAAAGATTGAAAACGCTTAAGAAAAAAGTATGTGGAGGAAATATAAAGCTAATAAAAGCAATTATAGGTAATTTTGTTTTAGAAAGCAGGTCCCTAAGTCAAAGGATCAACCCCATCCTTCCCCCATTGATTAGAACTTCAGCAAATTATTTAATCCCTAATGCCTAGCCCTGCATTAGCTGTTTCTAGAAGAGGAGAATGCAGGCTGGGAGATACCCTTCTTTTTTCTTTTAGATTCTAACTAGATTGTAGTAAGTGTGGTTAAATCCAAATATCTCATTCCTTCACAGAGTGTTAGATAATATATTGGTGTTACATTTTCTGACTTCGTGTGCTTTTTTTTTTAACATATTGATCGTGAGTCATTTTTATATCAATATACTATAAAATAAATTTACTTAATTTAAAATAAATGTGAATAGCAAAGAAAGAATAGGCAATCAGCAATTTGAAAGCAATTAGAACTTAATAATATCATAAAATGTTTGGCAAGCATAAAGAATTGACTTGGAGATCTTTTACAAACTAGATTGTAGTTAGTGTGGTAATTTTGTTGGTTACAATTTTGGCATAGGAAAGGAAAAACATGGTTGAGCAGCACTCAAAAACACGTATAGAGCAGTTCTCTGTACAAACACTCTCGGCCAAGGCAGCAGGGGAGCTGAGTGCAGCCCAGATTTCCCGGGCCAAATTGTACATATGCCTCAAAGGTGCTTCATTTTCGAATTCATTCAAAACTATCACAGAGAGCAATATACACAATGCAATATATAGTGCAGTAGTCCTGTTTCCCACTTGAATTCCAGAAGATAGTTTCTAAAATTCTCTTTTTCTTAAAGGGCTAGTAACCACTTAGCCAGAAAATCTCCTCCCTTGCCAAAGCATAGGCATTAAATCTGAGTAAGTAGCCCTTTTTCTACTATAGTTACTGTTGGAAAACGACACAAGCTTTCCTAGGCTCAAGGATGCCTCAGCCCATCAGATCTGTATCACCTCAGCCTCAGTTTCACAGTTGTCTGAGGTCATTGAACTGTACCTTAGGCTGCTAATCTTCGAGGTAAGATAATAATCACTCCCAACCACTGGAAGATGCCATTCTGACAATGGGCTAATTCAAAGTAATGGTACCCTCCCACCCCAGCTTCTAGGAGTTATTCCCAAAAGTTTTATTAGTAATAATTTTGTTTGATAGCAGATAAAATTTCTCAGATGAATTTATAATTTTCTTCTCTCAGTATTTTAAATATATTCTGGACCTTGGCTCAAAGTAAACTCTGAATCTGACCTCCTCCTGATCTGAATAATGACTTCAAGCTCAGCAGTCTTTCAAATCAACCTAAAATACATACTGAAGTTTCATTCTTTCCCATAAAAATGTGGAACTGTATATTTTCATGTTATCATGTTTCAATATCTCTACCAATGTATAATACATGTAATTAAACAGAATATTATCAATCCAAATATCCCATGCCCTCACAGAGTTTTACACTGGTTTTATATTTTTGGATTTATTTCTTTTCATTAAAGCTTTTGGTTGTTAAGGACTTTTCTCCGGCGAGTTCTTCTCCAGTGTGGTCACAGTTTGAAACACTACAGATGATCAAGCAATGCATGACACAATGGCTGATAGCAGCAGACGCTTTGGAGCCAGAGAAACCTCTGTACTTAATAGTCTAGACTCGTAATTGACTTAAATAAGCAACTTAATTAAATTTTGTAAGCCTTAGTTTCCTTTTCTCTAGAATTAAAAACATAAACCCTAGGGCCAACAAACAAAGACCTTGCAACAGACCTTGGCACAGTTTGTAGCTGTTTTACCCCTAGAGACAAACACCCCATCTGGACAAAAGTGGCTACAAGGGGTACTGGCAGAAGTGAGAATAGTGGTGAAACCAAAAATTATTTTTAATTCTCAATAATTTGGAGAATAGGTCATTCAGTAAATTGACTTTTAGCAAATTAACTTTAGGCAAATTGGTCATTTGGCAAATTGGCTTTCAGCAAAACAGTTGTCAGCTAATTGGTTTTCTGTGAATTATTTTACTTAAATTGGTCTGTTTCCTCTCTAATGTTTGAAATTAGTGGGCATTACTTCTCACAAAAGAAATAATCAGTGGCCTCAAACGGTTGAGGTTTAATAAAAATAGTATATGTCAATAGCGACAGCTCTCTAGGGATATCACAAAAGAAGTCAGAAGTATATCTGTTTCCTTTGATTATCAGCAACAAATTTTGACGGGAAGGTTGTCTCCTGCATGCTTGAATGCTTGAACCTGATGGAAAGGTATACCACCTGTGGATCCCTTTTCCCCCAGATTAAATGCATAAAAGTATACCACCTGGAGGTCCCTTTCTCCTAGATTAAATCATAAAACTACAACACCTGAAGATCCCTTGCCCCAGATAAAGTAGCATACACTCCACAACACAGGTGAGCTGGGTCACAGCATGATTATTCTCTATATTTAGGCCACCTTCTTACTCAATCCTAACTCAATATTACCATCAAATGAATCATGTTACTATCTATAGCAATTAAGATGGTCAAAATAAGTGATTTCTTCCATTTCTCCCAGATAGAAATAGCCAGTCTATGTTCATTTTTATTCATTTGTTTTGCTCCTACTGTGTTGGTAAACTAGCTATTTTAAGCAATTAATCAATTTCTGATGTTAAAGCACTTGGGGGAAAGGTGAAAGTGAGAATCAAATCAGTCTTCAGGGGAACAAATATTTAGCTTCCATTGTAGTGAATTTTGGTTTTGCTTTCTGAAAAGTTATTATAGATTTTCTTTTCTTTCTTTCTGGTTTTTTTTTTGTTTGTTTGTTTTTTTGTTTTTTGAGGGCCAGCAAAATTCCTCACCTTCCCCTTCTTTTTCTGGTTCCAGACCTTCTCCCAAGTATTTGGAACTGACCCTCAGCAGTGATTGTTCCAAGGCGTAGGCCATGACAAGCAAAATTAGCAGTACTGGCCTAGAGTAAGTGAAAACTGAGGCAAATAAAAATCCTTTTTTACCAGGAGAGCAGAGAGAGACTGCATAGAGAGTGCAACCAAGCAGAGAGCTGCAGAAATGGGAGATGAACAGAACAAGGTTAGATCACGTAGTACTGGATTCCTGGTTCCAGTCCTTATTGAATATTCTTTGTATTAGTACATTTTCCTGTTGTTATAAGGAAATATCCAAGACTGGACACTTTATAGAGAAAAGAGGTTTAATTGACTCACTGTTCAGCATGGCTGGGAAGGTCTCAGGAAACGTAGAACCACGGAGAAAGGAGAAGGGGAAGCAAGACACCCTCCTCAAGGAGCAGCAGGAAAAAGAGTACCGAGTGAAGGGGGAAGAGCCCCTTATAAAACAGCTCCATCAGAACTCTCGAGAACTCACTCATTATCATAGGGGCGGTTCCCCCCAGCTGGAACAGCACGGGGAAACCGCCCCTATGATTCAATTACCTCCACCTGCACTGTCCCTGGCCATGTGGAGACTATGGAGACAATAATTCAAGATGATCGTTAACTCTATCAGTCTTTAAAAGAACAACTATCTTAGTATCTTTCCTGGCTACATAAAACATTTCCTTCTTCCTTAACGTGGTTAAGTTTGGTATATATAAACGGCAGTTAAAAGAGTTAATTAATACTGTTTTTAAGGAAACAGAGCTTACCCTGCACTCACTCCAAAGATGGCAAAAACCTGATCACAGAAAAATCCCCATCTCCCATGGGGCAGAGAGTACAGGAAACACCTTCAATAGAGAGTAGAGCCTTAGAAAAGGGAGAAAATTCGTGCAACATGTCAAGTCCCGTGGTTTGGAAGGAACAAAAGATGACTATGTTGCATAGCTATACAAACATTTGTCAAGATCTTTAGTTGGTCTGTCTTGGTGCAGGCTTGGAAAAAAAAAATTACCCTCCTCACTATGGCAAAATCCCTCCCCTCTCTGCCAGCAGATAGCAAGAAATATGGGTATCTCACTGTGATGTAGAAATGAAAGGATTTCCCAAATGGGTCGAAAATGCAAAACATGGACCGTCTTCTACGTATGTGCACATTCTGTATGCTTGTGGAGGGTAGGGACGAGATTACTAAATAGTTCTCCTGTGGCAGCTGCAAGTTATGAGCCTGCATCTACGGAAGGTGAGGTTTCTCCTAAGCGGTCCTTTGTCAATCAATCACCAAGACAAAGGTCTTTAGACAAGAAATGCGAAAGCAAAAAGAGGCAACTTTATTTCTACCTCTAGATTGTTCTGTTGACTTTGAGAGTTCTAGATGTTCCTAAAGGTGTTTCCATAAAGCAGTAATCAAATATATCTTCTGTTATTTAAGGACAGGCATGTAGGGAGCTACAAAAGAGCTATGGTATCCCTGTCAGAAAATACAAGCTGAAATTACGTTCTGCCCCAGAAGCCAAATAGTCTAGTTTATGCTATTTTTAAAATTGTATTTCCACCTTGTTATCCTTTAATTAAGTTCTGACTGCCTGATTTCAACTGCACTGGAGGTTATAAAGGTAAAGATCACACGTTCACAGTTGGATCAGAGTGGAATTCCTGGAACAACACTACATCCTCTTCTCAGGACAAAATTAGGATAAGAGTAAGAGTTAGAGTTATGAGTACAGTAGGGATAAATATGGAAAAATCCCCCAAAGAAGACCATAAAATCCAGCTTCCACTATTCAGTAACTGGGTCTATTTCTTTAAATCAACCTTGAAAAAATTTGGTTTTCCTTTTTGTAAAAGAGAAAAATGGGCCATTATTCGAAGTGAAGTAACTCAGAAATGGAAAGCCAAATATTGTATGTTCTTACTTATAAGTGGGAGCTAAGCTATAAGGATGCAAAGGCATAAGAATAATATAATGAATTTTGGGGACTTGGGAAGGTGGAAGGGGAGTGAGGAATAAAAAAAGTACATATTGGGTACAGCGTACGCTGCTTGGGTGACAAGTGCCCCAAAATTTCAGACATCACCACTAAAAACTTATCCATGTAACCAAAAACCACTTGTAGCCCAAAAACTTTAAAATAAAAAAACTTAAAATCTAGTAATTCTTGAGACACAATACCAGGCAAGTTTACAAAGTTTTTAAACAGAAGAGCACTGTAATTCAACATATTTTCAGGTACTTCGGATATATACAGTGGCATAACTTAAGAAACAACTCTACTACTATTTGTTAGACTAAGAAAAATAATGGCTAAAATTTTGTTTAAAACATTGTAGTAATTTTAAACCACTGTAAAATAACAAATAAAAAGCCTTTTAATGAGTTCATTATGTTTGGGGGTATGTCAAATGTTATTTTCCAATTATGTAATTAGAATTAAAAAGTCAAGTTGCAGTGCAGTTACTCCATTATTATAAATGAGAGCTACAGTTGCCATTGGCTTTGGTAAAGGTCTCTTAAAAAAATTAATATTCTAATGCATCATAAATTACAGAAATTCCTCTATAATTAATACTTGAGGATGCAAAATTGTATGCATTCATTAAATCTGAGTAAATTATGTATATTATATATAAATTTCCCTTTCTGTTATTGTTTTTGAAAGGGAAGAAAAAACAGCTGAAGTCTTGCTACACTGGGTTTTTAACTCCATCTGCTATGCAAACATGCACAGGCATTTTCTAAAAAAAATAAAATGAAAGCAAAATAGGCATTTTCTGGTCTAATGAGCCATTTCCTTCTAAATAAATTCCCCAAATGGAAATATTACATGTCTCACACTAAGCCTAACAATAATGCTTTAAGTATTTTCATGGGCGTTGCAATATCTCACCAATATATGAACATTTGAGAGTCAAGCATAAAGCCACATCAAATGTTCTAACAACTGGATTCTTTACTTCGAATAGGAACGGCACGCAGGAGCCCTTCAAACAAGCAACATGAATAAAGGCTCAGGGGGAAAAAAGAGAAGTTCAGCAACAGCTGAGTCTCCTACTGCTGGAAATAACAGGTGCTCTCAGTGGGTTGGGTTATATTTGTCGTATAATGTCTCAAGTTTAGTTATTTCAGTAAGTTAGGAGACATTCAGGTGGATTTTGTCTAGGTTATTCACAAAATACCCTGCCCAAATGTCGTCATGAAAGCAGTGAAAAATTGTATTGAATAAAGTGATATTGTTTACCTGATTGACTACCTAGACCTACCAATCTCCCAGTGGTGTTGTAAGGATCAAATGAAGCAGCATATACTTAAAGAGTTAGTAAACATTTCAGAAATGCCGTCAAAACCAGGCCCAATGAGACATCAGGATGCTGTTGTTGGGGGTGAGCAGTCACTGGAAGGACACACAAGAATATCAAAGATGCTCATAACATTTTATTTCTTAATCCTGATGCTGATTATGTGGGTGTGCAAAAATTTAGTGAGGTGTACACTAATGTGTGCACACCTTTTGTCTGTTATTCTTCATGAATTTTTTTTAAAAACATGATTACTAACATGAGATGAGCTTGTCTTTCAATTGTGTCAAACTCGAATGCCTACAGGGGCTAGCCAGAACATGTGAATGAACATGGTGGCTGGCCTCCAATGAATGGATGAACAAATGTCCTATCTAAAGGAGCACTATTGCTCAGCTCCATCCTTCATAGTCATGTGGGACCCATGTGCCCTGTGGTGCTAGACTTTCAAGAAAGGACCCAAATTTAGATTTTGTATGGTGAGCACCTAGGGACAAAGAGGCTGGCTGCTCTTGACATCAGTGTTGTCAGCACTAAGAATCAGCCTCTGTGGTATAAGTCACCAAGTGTGAAGTGGCAAAAAGGGTAAGTCATAGGCAATACCCTGACACTAATCAGTTATGCAGCCAATGAATTTCCTGAAAACCATCTGCACAGTCTCTCACATAGTTGTTCTGCCAATATTATGATAAATGGAAAATCTTTGTTCCTGGGCTTATGAACTATCACTGGACAAAAAGACGTAACAGGTGACACTAGATGATTCCCCATCCTACTTCCAAAGAAGTACATGTTTTAGCTGCTTTTCTAATGAATATCATATCATTCAGAAATATCATGCAAAGCAATATAAGACCAAAAAAATCGTGAAGTAGGGAAACATTGTCCCAACAGTTCCTTTATTCTAATAACACATGAATTTTATATTTGAGATGATAAGGATGTGATATTGACAAATAAGAAAGAGAGGGAGATGAGAAAGAAAAAAGGAAGGAAAGGAGAAGGAAGGGAAGGGAAGAAAAGAGGGAGGGAGGGGAGGCAGGGAAAAGCTGACCCTAATCAAGTATATTCAGAGCGTGGTTATGGCAAAGGGGATTAACGGAATGCCAGGCTCTCAAATAGGGAGACTCTGGAGAATGCTTGGAGAAAGTAGTATACCAGATTTTGGCCCAGCACTTGTGAAGATAAGGAAGGGATATAGTATTCTCTCTTTATCCATGGGTAACACTTTCCAAGCCCCTACAATGGATGCCTGCAGCCCTAGATAATACCAAACCCTATATAGTCTGTTTTTTCCTATACACACATACCTATAATGAAGTTTATTTCATAAATTAGGCACATTAATAGATTAACAATAATAATAACATAGAGCAATTATAACTATATACTTTAGTAAAAGTTATGTGCATAGGGTCTGTCTCTCAAAATACCTTTTGCTGTGCTATATTCACCTATTTTCAGACCACGTTTGATCACAGGTTACTGAAACTGCAGAAAGCAAAACCACAGATAATGGAGACTAGTGTATTTTCTGGAGTTGTCAGAGTTCCACCCTTTCCTGCTCTACACCACCCAGTCCCTCTGCACGCTTTGCTTGAGGTGATGGAACTTTCTGCACTCAGTGCCAATTTTTAGTTAGATTAGTTTTTCCTAAAACCATTTTTGTGGCAAACAGTAACTTCAGTGTTTTATTTGTTTAAGGTGTGAGAGTTTGAACTTTTAAACTATTAAAACAATCCTTTGAAGGTAAGCCAAAATTTTTGAAAAGGAGCCTGTGAAGGCCAAATAAAATAAACCTCCTTTGTTGATCTGAATTACTGTACTCTTTGAGAAGATGCAAACATTCCAGGCTCCCTTCTCAAGTTATGCATTTCTCCTTTTCTCTTCTCTTAATTTAATGGGGAATGGTTGAAGAGGTCTGTAGAGAAGCCATCAAGTGATCTCCCTTCTCTACTTTTAAGACTAAAGTGGCCCCCATTGAATTTCACAAATATATGCCTACTGTTGAACAAAAACATATTGAATATTTATGTCAATAACAAATATTAATATTTATGGCATCTTTCAACTCAGAGCTACCATACCATCCTAGCAAGACATTTTATTTATGACAAATCTCTCATTTTGTTCTGTCTCACCTCTAACAAAAATTCTTAAAAAATGAATTTGTATTTGTATATTTATTTTAAACCACAAATAATGTATGGTGAAGAATTGAAAGTAGAAGAAATTAGGCATATTGCCACAAATTTTCATATATAGCCTTGTTTAGTTTAAGGAAATATCCGACAAGCAAAGTTTTTCTATTTCCTAAAAAGAACCTACTCTGGTGGTTTTGCTCAGCAGCATTTTTTTTTCCAGCTCAAAATAGAGGATTTCCTGAGCGAAGGGTGGATGAAAGTCTCTCCCATGCTGTAGAAACAGTAAAAGAAGGCTGTGTCGGCCATTGGAGTCTATGCAAATACCAAGTGGATATGTGGCTTTGAGAGAGCCAAAGTAGTTAAACATGTGAAGGAGAAGTATCTACCAAGGGATCCTGTTTGGGAAGAAAGCAAAAAACATATTTTAATGTGAAAACAAATCCCACTAGAAAATAGTGATTCAGGAGGGTATAGGCATTTGCAGAAAGGACAGTAAACCCTAGTAATAACAAGCAAATATTGAGTTACTGCTAAAGGAAGTCTATAAGCCTCTGAAACATGCAAAGCAACACAGACTGAATCTTTCCCAAGAGAAGCAGCAGCGAAGTTAGAAGGAGAAACGACAGCACAGAGTCCTTTAGAAGATGACAAACCACAAACAAAGAGAGATTGAAGGTAGACTGAGATAAACACCAAGCAAAGCTAGTAAAACATCATAAGCTCCCGGTAAGAAGATGCTGAATTTTTAAAAATTATTTTTACATTCACAATGTACAATCTGCCAATTTCCAAAAATAATTTGGTGCCATTAAAATTCAACACATATTTATGAATTTTACTGCAGTTATTTGTAATTTGCTGTATATTTTAAACTGAGCTAAAAATCTGGTTGAAATTTTTATACATATTGAGATAGTTGCTGATAATTCATTTTATCTTAACATCTTATAAGTTGTTTGTAGGTAATGTACTTACCTTGAGCAGGTTCTGAGCCTTATTCTGGTTGAAACATGAACAGATGAAGATTTGATGCTCATGTGCAATAGATATCAGACAATGACATAAAATATTCTAGCTAAATGTCTTGACTCAGTCCGTAACAAAGTGTTTGACAATGAATTGGTCACTTTTTCTGGGACCTTGTTACCTCAATTGTTAAGATATCAATACTTTCATTGCTTGTCTCACAGTTGTGTTTTAAAATCAAAAGAGAAAATATACAATAAAACATAAAGTACAAAATATACAAATACAAATATACAAAAATCATTAGTGTCCATTAAAACAAATGTTATGTAATTAGTATCCGTTTTTCCAGGAGTCCTATCCTAAATCAATCCCTTGCTTTGTAGTTTATTGGGCAGGTATTGTTTCCAGGCATTATTCTATGCTCTTTACAAGCGTTGTCTTATTTAATTTCTTCTAGTGATGTTCTGAAATAGCTGTTTTTACAGAGGAAAAACTAAACAGAAAAAATATAGATAGCTTAACTACAGCTAGTAGTTCCTAGAAACAGGAAACAAACTGAGGCTGGTCTGATTTTTTTTTTCAGCTAAGCACTAATATTTGCCGCTTACAATACCATAAATGCTCTGAGTGTTTATATAATATTATAGCTATTAATTTGCCCATCAGACCTTCTTGTAGCCAAATGAAGTTTGAAATAGGTATGATTTTAAGCCAACTAACTTGAAACCTGTTAACTTTCCATATCATATCAACAGTCTAATCTATAAGCCATAACTGTTTTCCTAGTACTATTATTTTATTATATTCAACTTTGATAAGGAAATATATTTAACTTTAATAACAGAACAGAAGTAAGATTTTTTAAATGTCAAAAAGTAATGGAAAGTAAATAACATGGTACTCCAACAGGAGAGCTAGCTTATTTTTCAATACTCAGCACATCACTCAGAAGAGTGAGTGCTCAGTAAACAAGCATGGCACCAGACACCAAGATAGAAAGATGAGCAAGACAGGGACCGTGCCCTGAGAACATCACAGATTAGCTGCATAAAGAGACATGTAAACAAACAGTGATAACACAGTGCGATGCTTACCATAACAGAAATAGGCGATGGAAGCCTTGAAGGAAAAGCACATATGTGCAGCCCGATGGGCATGGTTAGCAAACGCTTTTCAGAGAATACTGCACTCTAAAAGAGACAAATATGGACAGATAGAGAGAGATCAGAGGGATAGATCAGGCAGAGGGAATTTCACGAACAATAAGCATAAAGGTTGACAATGCATTTGGAAAATACCAGGAAGTAGGAGAAAGTTTCTCATGGGCATCCCTTTTCTGCATGCCTCATGAGCTAAGTGGGTTTGGATAAGCTTCACAGGGGTGAAGGAAAGCTAATATGACACTGGGTGGAGCCATTTGGTTCAATTCAATGTTGTTGTTGTTTTTTTTTAACATCTGAATGCACAGTAGAAATTGACATGTTATATGCTTGTATTTCTCCATCCCAAAAGTGCCAGTGGAGATTCTTCTGATTAGGAAGAGCTATAGGTAGAGAAGTGCTGGTATCTCTGGAGCCCCAATGATCTCCTCATCCTTTTGTGCTTTAAGTTTCTGTGGCCAATAATTTGGCCAATGGGAGCCTCTGGCAAAGGGTGTCAACCTCCACCTGCATCACCTTCCTGACATGACTAGCAAGTACATCCTGTTGAAAACCATATAATACTTAATGCTAGGTTCTTACTACATTGAGCACTTGACCCAAGAAGGCCTTGCAACTCTTTGACATAATATTGGTGCATCAACTTGGGCTCAATAACTTGGCCTCAATAATAAAAGGCAGGAAAGACCTAACAGATCTTCCTTGTTAAATGGAAATGAAATAGCCAAGAACAGAGTCATGGTATCTCAGCTTTATATGAAACAGAGGCAGCCTTTCCTTTGGGGGAAGGTTTTTCCACTCTTCAACCCATTTAAAGCAGAGTTGCTGACTCAACGTGGTTTTTGATTCACAGAGATCGCCCTAAATGTCTACATCTGGTTCACTGATAGTTTGACTAAATTGAATTACGATGTTGTCCACTGGGCTGCTGTGGCTGCCCAACCCAGAACCATCTACAGCAGAACCAAAATAGATTTGGTCTTCCTGCTCAATGGACAGAACTCAAAGCTCTGTTTTACTTGATGAATCTTGGTATATTTTTTCTAACCCCTGGGTTATTACCAATAGGCTAGATATTTGGCCTGCCACTTGGAAAACTGCAGACTAGCAGATTTAAGACACTGCTCTTCAGAATTGTAAACTGTGGAAACCAACCATGGCTTTTCATTAAACTGTCTTGGTGACTCATGTACATGCCTTAGTAAGTGTTAGCTTTTGATGAGACCAACTGGAGCCAAGCAGCTGAGATAGCCTGTTCCATGTAGGTAAGAACCACTCAGATTGCCATGATTGTTGCCTGAACCCCTTATCTTAATGGACATGGAAACACATCTGCAATTGCAAGCCAACCACAAAGTAAAGGACTCTATGTTGCCTACTACATGCCAGACTTGTGACTCCCACCAAAAGTTGACCTGTTTATCTCATAGAGATAGGACACATTACAAGGGGCATTGCTCCCTCTCACTCCTAGCAGATTAACTACATCAGAATTTTGACTACTTTTTGGGGCTCTTCACAGGTTACAGTGTTGATATACTTGTCACATCCACTGTTTCTGGCTATAACATTATGGTCCTTGACATTTTCTGTGTCATATATTTGGCTTTTCAAAAAATTTCCATTATGACAATGTTTCAGCCTTTATTGGAAAAGCCACTCCATACTGGGCTTATAGTCTAGATATTTGATAGACCTTCCATGCATCCACAGGTATCTGATATTATTGAGCACTGGAAATACTTCCTTAAAAATTAAGCCAAAAATATTTCTGACTCTACCTTCCATACCTCCTTCTGGTCAACAATGTTAGCAAGGTGGTTTGGTCATTGAAGGCAATTGTCTCCACAAAGAGATCTGTTTTTCTCACCTGCTCTATGGGTAATATGCAGGTCAAAGAGGTTGGGGAGCTATATAGATTTATTTTGAAATATTGGCATTTTGCTTTTCCCTTTCATGAACATGGTGTATCTTTCTTTCCCCAAACTGTAACCTCAGGCAGGACTGGTTGCTATACTGTCTGAATATCAGCATGGTTAAAAGGGGGCCTAGGGGACTCAAATTCAATTATGGTCAGTCATCTGGATTATCTTATTGGTTATATGTGTGTAGTCCTAAATTATGAGAATAATGAATGTTTGCATAAGCATGCTCTTAGCCAAATCTGCTATAGTAGCCCACCTGGGCAAAAGTAGGCAGCATAATGTGTCTCTGTGAGTTTTATAAAAATGCACTATTGTATAGTATTTGATACTCCCAAATGAAGGATTTGGATGGAAATAGAAGATTACTGAAGATAAATGGCATAATTGCTATGTGAATGGGAAATGCTGATTTCGTGGCAGTGAAGGAAGAGCAACAATCTTAGCAATAAATAAAAATCTTAGGGGAAAGATAGGGACATTGAGACAAGCTGTTTGTCAGAGCCACTCTGGAGGCATCCTCTTAAATGAAAACACCCTGATGCATATCTCCCAAACTGTTGCAAGAGCCTTCTATTAAACTGACTTTCTGGGTCTGCCATTCCTACCAGACTGCTCCTACCATGATTTGAACATTACTCCCTCAAACTTACAGAGAAGTTCATCAGAAAGAGTATAAAGGGTCCCACCTTCTTCCCCTCACATACAAATCATCTTTCAACACCCTCAGTTATCAATTTGCCATTTACCATTTGTCAAGGCTTAATCATTTCATGGAGCAGAAAATGTCAGCAGTCAGGTGACAAGGACAAACAGAACAGATTAGACTGGACCCCTCTCCAAACACAAAGACTAGTCCCAACCATTTGAACAAAGTTGGGACAACTAATACTGACCAGCTGGCCTGGAGGCTTTGTCAACCTGTACCCTCCAACTGGTGTAGGTACCACTCGAGAGCCCCAATAATTGTAAATACCATTATCTCCACGGCACTGTGACATCTTCAGAAATAGACTTCTTATATAAAAGTCAGTCATGAACTTATTTCCCTCCTGAAAACACAGTGACATATACATTAGAGGTATTCATAAGAGACCTTCAAGTGTTTAAGGAAATACCACCAGTGGATCAAGAAAACCTCAGATAACTGTAGGAATCTCTGTAAAGCTAGGGATGCTTCCAGGAGCAATGACTGTTTTACATCCCATGGGCTGTTATCCCTAGATGGAAGTTATCCACTTACAAAAGGTAGTATAGAACTTGTCCTTGAGTTTAGCTAAAGTGATCAGTGACACAACTAGAGTTGACAATGGAGTGTATTCCCTTGGGAAAACTTGCCAGATGTCAAGACAGTATAGAAATAAGGTGTGGATATTAATGGAATACAAATCTTTATCAGTCACACAAGCATCTGCTTATCCTGGAAGTAAGGCACTTGTTGCCTTAGTTCTTTGAAAGATGTTTGTTTAGCAAACAGCTTAGGAAGATAGAGATATCTCCCTCCAGGAATACTTATTGTCCAGCAAATTCAATATAATGTCTCCCTCCAGAGCAAAGGTTGGCATACCTATCATTATAAAATACTAAGTACCCTAAGCTCAGGGGTTTTCTCCTATGATGTATACAAATGTATGTGCTGGTGTCATCTACTATCTTAGATCTAATTGCTCATCCAAGCCCTTCTTCCACAGCCTTCCTCCAGTCTTGGTATTTTTTATTGTTTTCCATTCAGATTGACAGTTGGCTCTGCCTTCAGGGCCCTTCACGGCTCTTCACTCAACCTCTTTGAATGTTTCCCTCATGCTATGCTTCCTTGAGCTGCCCTACTTGGTTAACTCTAGAACTCCTCTGTCTCATCACACTTTGATAAAATGCTTCTGAATCTGACTTTTCTCACTAGAACAAAATACAACCTCCAGAAGGAAAAAACAACAACAACAACAAAAAAAAAAAAACAGTAACATCAAGACTGAGAAACTGAAAATCATTTTGATCAACATTCTCTTTTTAGGACTTTTGTTTTCTATTTGATTGGGAAGTGTTAGAATGGCAACAGTGACAAATCCTATGGCAAATCTTTATGCGAAGGTAAGTGATGGCTATAAAAAAGAAACTTCATGTTAAGCTCCCAATGTGGCTTCATAAAGTGCACAATTTACATTTCATGTAGGCAGAATCACCAACAGCAAAGCATTCTTCTGTGGAAGCTGTGTCCCTCGTCACCATGGTTTAAAGAGGTGCAGTCTAGTGTTGCAATTAAAGTTAGGCTTTGGGTTCAAAAAGGCAAGGGTTCTATTTCCAGCTCTGTCATTTACAAGCTGTGTAACCTTGGACAAATTACTTAATCTCCTTTAGCCTCAATGTTCTAACCCATAAAAAAGAAATTATAAAGGTGCCCATGCCAAGGATCATTAAATAAAGCATGTAAAGCATAATAGTTGACAATTGCATATGCTTATTAAATGTTAGCTACTCTCATAAGTCTCATGTATAGGCAGAAAGCAAAGACTGATTTGAACCCAGACTTTTGACTCAATGTTTACCTAAAAAAGGCCTGTAACAAGTGCTTTCAACTAAAAGATGATTTATTTGTATGGCTATTGTAAGCTCAGAATGTCATAATGGATGTGAAAGCACATTAAAATTGCTATGAAAATATGACATTATTATTAAACACATAAGTAAACAAACAGTATGTATGGTTATTAACCTCAGACCAAGAGATTCTATTATTCAAAGCGATTTTAGAACACATAGTTACATAATATAAAAGATGAAATCACTGGGAGAGTGTTTGAGAAATTAGACATCTTTAAAAGCTCTCATTCTGATAATACTATTTGGATGACTGATCATAAAAAGATTTCATAGCTATTTCACTGTCAGAAAATGTTCTCATTCACAATGTAATCTTCCACAATATATGTTATTTACCAGATACTTAGATTTTAATCTAATCTTGGAGTATTGATGTTTAAAATGAATATTACAAAAACCCTAAGAAATAACTATCAAGCAAATAGAAACAACCAAAGTACCTGTAATAAAAGTCACATAAACTTCTGCAGTACAAATTGGGTTACCATTTCATATCCTTTATAGGCAGTAAATGCTCTATTTTATCATGTAAATTCATTTCTAGCTACTCCATATTAATCAGAAATCTGATACAATATATCATAACACTGTGCCCCATAAATACTTGTTGAGTCATGCTTTGTCAACTTTACTATCATATGTGTTTATCAAAAACATTCACAAAATCTACTTGTAAAATACATATTTATAGACACTTGTTGTCAAAATTTCATTAGCTGTGTTCTAAGCCTTCCAGAGGTGTCAGAATTTCCCCGCACGATCTGTGTCCAGATGAAGCCATGAAGTCATAGAATCAAACGTTCACAAACAAATGTATTTCCACCCAACCCCTTTTACATCTGATTTTTTTCCCAGAGGCTTGAACTCTTTCTCAGTCATTCCAGTGTGATGGTACTATACAGAAAAGAATTTAACAATGTTTACGTGTTATATGGACAAAAGAACTATGAAAACAGTAGGATCTTAGAGCAAGGTGTGATCACTAGGGTATCCTTTAAAAGTGATACTCTCTAAATATTTATTTTCGATGATTTAGGATAGTGGCTAAGAATTTCATGATGGAAAGGGGAAAGGGCCCACTGCTCTGGGTAGTTAGACTAATACAGAGCTTAGTATCTCCTTTTAGTCTAGGTTAATCAGCTTGGTCTTATAAATCAAAACAGTATTCAGCAAAACCAAAGCCCCTCGGAGAACTGCACCCACCACCTGAGAAGCCGCCATATTTTATTACACCCTCTAGGCTAAAACAAAATATTTCTCTTTGCTTCATAGAATATTCTTCCTGAGAGAAAATAAGGAAACACCATTTTCACCATCTTGTTATGTTTCCAGAGACATTTGATGCCTCGATAATGTTTTGACATACTCGAAAGACTAGTTCTCTAGCCAACTTCCTGACTGACTCCTTTTTCATTCTGCTCTAGGTGCTAAGAATTCAGTGATGAAAACATGATGTCTCCTAGGCATGGAAATAACATTGTACTGATTTCTTCGTGACAATTAAATCATATAGAATTTAGAAGCAATTTTTTTAACATTTACTTTAGTAGTTTATTGGACTCTTTCCCCCATTTCCAATTTTTTGAATTATGAGACAATTTTTTTTCATCTAATTCTCATCAGTTTTACTCTCTGTATAATTTGCACTGTATTTCCATTTTAAAAACCAATAAAATAAAAATTACATAAATGCTGAAGCATCAAAATTTCTCTCATTCCCAAACTTTCATTTCTAGATAAAATTGTGGCATACACTAATGAACCCTGTACAGCTGAGAAACAGCAGTATTGCAACCCTCAGCCCAATTTTTCATTAGAAAAAGTATAGAACATCTTACCCATGCTCACTGTCATGCTCATTTACCAAAACTGACAAAAGGACTTTTTTATTGAAGAAAATATGGAAAAATCCAGGGTATTTTCCCCACAAAAAAATATCTTTTTTGGTGCCTATAAACATTAATTTTTTGTGCCCATTATTATGACCAATTTCTGTATAATCAAGTAGCTAATCACCACCAGTATAATTGAGTCAGGTAGTGATTTACAGTATAGAAAATACTGATAGCACTCCAATCGACTATATTGAGTTTGAGTCTTTTTATGTCACACAAATTGAGTGAAAGGAGTTTGGCTAAAAACAAGAAAGTCCCACTCTTTAGTGGAAAAACTATTTGATGTACATAAAAAATATATGCACATCATGTATATATTATGTATATACATATACATCACACTATTTGATGTGTGTGTGTGTATGTGTATAGACAGAGAGAGAGAGAGAGGGATTGATCACATTGTCATTCCATAAAAACAATTTTCAGCAATTTTTTCCATTTTCAAATTTCTTGATGGCTTCCTTTCATTTTTGCTTTATCATTTCTATTCCTTTTCATGTCTTTGGTGTTTCTTTCATTTCATATATATTATCTACTATGTGACAAGCACACTGTACCAGGTTCCAAATATAAAAGATGACTAAGTCATGTGAGTACCTGCCTTCACCGAAATTATAGTGTAGTATGAAAGCAAGCATTTAAAAAATTCACAGTTTAATAAATGTATAATTTCAAATTAAGTGCTATAAAGGAAAAGAACAAGCAAACATATGAAAAAATAACTGGAACAACAGAATGTTAATATTTTTATTAGTAAAAAGTTGGCACAGCTTAAATGTCCATCAAAGGATTTTATCTAGAAGGAACCAAATAGACTATAATTGATATGTGGAAGAAATAAGACATCTTAATTTGTACATTGAAGAGCATACCTTCAACAATAGGCAACCAGATGGTAAATAAAACAAAATGCCATTTATTGAATGCTTACTATGCTGCACATCTCATACTAAACACTTCATATATATTAGTTGAGTTTCATAACAACACTATAAGATAAACATTAATTTTCCCATTTTATAGATTTGGTATTAACTAATTTCTTTCTTTTTGTGCACATACTTGCACATCCACATAAATACAACCAAACAAACATATTTGGCTAAAATGTATTTATTCATTCAGAAAAAAAATATTTATCAAACATCTACTATGTGCCAGGCGCTGTTCCAGATTTTTGCTATAGGTCAGTGAATAAAACAATCAAAGATCTCTATATTCATGGAAGTTACATCCTTGTGAACAGAAACATACAATAAGTAAACAAACAAAAATAACACATAAATTGTATAGTATGGCTATGTTATAGTAAGAAAAAATACGTGGCTTTGTTATGAGAATAAAAGTGGCTCAAGTTAAAGAGAATGGGAACACAGTGGTGAGAGGTGCTTGCAATTCTAGATAGGAGAAAGAGTAGGCACACATTTAAGGTGACATTTAATGAAGGTAACCTGGACAAGGTGAAGGAGTTGGCAGAAGTCTATCTGGAGTCAAAACTCCAGGTAGAGAGAACAGCAAGTGCAGAGTCCGCAATCTGTGAGCTTCCATGCCACGTACCAGGAAAGACCAAAGAGGAGAGTGTGGCTAGAACCTAGTAAACAGGGAAGAAAGAAGAAATAGAATCAGTAGGGAAAAAGCATTCCATATGGTCCTATATAATGCCTTTTCATTTAAATAATATTCAGCTGTTATCTCAATGCAGGTTCATTATAGGAAATGAAAGTATTTATTGCAGGCAACTTCTAGATATATATCCTGCATCCTCCATAAAGAGACAGATATATGTAGTATTTTGGAACCGAAAAAATGAATCATACTCTACCTAATATTTTATAAATCAACATAATTTTTCTATTCAACCAACCAAATTGAACACAATTACATTATTCCAGCTGTTACCCAATGTCTTAGCAAGCTTAGTTTGCCTTAACAAAATACCGTGAAGTGGATGGCTTAAACAACACAAATGTTTTCCTCACAGTTCTAGAGGCTGGAAGTTTGAGATCAGGGTGCCTGCATGGTTGGGTTCTTATCTGACTTCGAGATAAGTATCTTCATATGGTGGAGAGAGTGTGTGTGAGCATGTTTCTGGTGTCTCTTTTAATAAAAGCACTAACTCCATCATGATGTCCTCACCGTCATGTTCTCATCTACGCCTAATTACCTCCCAAAGACCCTATCCCAAATACACTCACACTGGGGATTAGAGCTTCAACATATGAATCTGGGGAGATATAATTCAGTCCATAACATTCTATTATTTCTGGACATTGAGACTTAACCAATTTTTTAATGCTATAAATAACTGAGAGAAAAAAATAAATAGTGAAAAATAAATTAGAACCTAAAAGAAACATCAACAAAATCATAAAGGATTACAGAATTGCTATTGATTAGAAAAACAAAATCGTCAGCTTTTGAAAAATCAGATATGGTGGATATTAATTTTTTATAATAATCATTCTTTCTACCAAATCTTAAAGACAAATTGCTTCAATTATGCTTTTCTTGAACATATTACTTTTTATAAAATCATTTTCAGTTGAACCACTTATTAATTTTTTGTTAATACGACCTAGGTCGATTGATGCCAAGTGAAATGGAGAATTGAGATGTATTTCCATGAAATTGCAGCTTTGATGACCTAAATTATTTCTCTGGCTCAAATTAGGTATATAACGCCTAGTATATCAGTTAAAATTCAGAAGGGACTCCACTGCACCCATAATATATACTTAATAAACACTTATTGATTGGTTGGTTAGCATAGACAACAAGGCATGGAATTAAATGGAAATGACACTGTTTCCGGTCATTGATGAAAGCCTTGCTATACCTTGCAAGAAATATTGGCATTATATTTAGCAAAGAACAGTATGCAACAGCCCCAACCCACACAAAATAAGTCAACAGATTCAAGTTCTAGGTATTCTCATTCTGGTCAGACTTATCAATAGGAAACTGACAATAACATTACTGCTATTTACATATTGGTACCACACTGGCATGGATTTGCATAATGTATTGAAGCTTTATGCTCTAGAGAGTTGCATTGTAACATATTGGTGCTTAATGAACTCTGAAAAAATTGATTTTCCACAGAGTAAATTAAGGAATGCATTATAGCTGTTAAAGCAATCTTAAGGGAAATCCGA